TTTTATTATTCGGTGGAAAAGAAGGTTAAAGTATTAATGAAGATCAAACTTTCAAGTAGACGCCATATTGAACAGAAAGGCCATTCACCGTGATGTTATATATTTCATAATAATATTAATATAAAATAATATTTCAGACGAAAGTAGGATCCCCTTTAAGCTGCCCTTCATATCAAATGAAGTAAGTCACACCATTAAAAAGTGCTTAAGAAAAAGTGGTCTTGAAAATTATGCAACGATTATTGACATCCCACCCAATACCCTACGCCGCCAGTTAGTTCGCAACCGTTTCTATGATCGTTTGCGCAGCTCAGAAAACTGTATGATCTGTCCTAATGGGAGAGACGGGGATTGCATGAGTTGTATTGACGGGATTGTATAATATATTTGATCTCATGTAATGCATGCGGCGAGGAATATTGGGGAAACGGGTAGACCACTTTGTGTCCGCATAAAAGAACATCTAGATGGGAAATTTAAAATCCGTCTGAATACCCCTCTAGGTACGCATAGGGCACAAAAGCACAACGGCGATGATTTTGAAGTGAATGTGCGGATCCTAGCGCAGGAATCAAAAACATCAACGCGCAAAACTCTTGAGGCGTTTTGGATAAATTTCAAAAAACCAGAGATGAACCGGAAAGACGAATGACTCATTATCACGCGTGACCTGGCGCCCTATTTCAAAATGATATTTTAACCCGGGGTGTGTCTTGCTCGCGATCCCACGTGAACTACGTGTGGGCCAGTACCACACGTAACATCACGGTGGGTGGCCTTTCTGTTCAATATGGCGTCTACTTGAAAGTTTGATCTTCATTAACACTTTAACCTTTCTTTTCCACCGAATAATAAAATCATCCTAATATTAAATACGTCCAGGCTCTGAGGAAGGCGAAGTTGCCGAAACGTCAGCCATCGATCAACGACATCAAAAACAACGACAACGACGACGAAGATCTGTACCAACCTCGCGTCAGCTTAGGAAGATCAAATCTATAGAAGATCTATAAGATCACATAAATAAATGATTTTAAAGCGATGAAGCAGTTCTGTCGATACATAGTTCCACTCAAACTTTATTTGTAGTTTATTTTTAAAATAATGATTAGTACGAGCTCAGACCTTTCAAATACCGTTCTGTTTTCTTTTTCTGGTTTGGAATGGCAAAATCACAGTCATTAGTAACTGTTTCTAGCGAAACACCTAAGACAGAGAGATTATTATTGCTTGAAAATGTGGAGCTCCTTCCCTCGCACTCCTTCGTCCCCTCTTTCCCAAACCATTACTGAAAGGCAATTAAAAACTATTTGGAGTAGAATTCCATTAGGTGGAATATGAAATGAGATAGGGCGCTTGTGGCGCAGTGGTTGGAGGCGCCATTGCGACACACTCGTGGAATCGAACCCTACGCCCGTGGCTCACAAAGCACTCTGTCTCTCCGGGGTCGACGAGTGGGTACCACACTTACCTGGGTGGACAGCAGCACTGGCTCGACACATCCGTAGGTCACCCCGTGTCATTGTAAGGGACAGATATGCATTCAATCACCTGCAACGATACTTAATGAAGTCGAATGCATGGCGCTTCCCTTAGGGTTTGATCAACTCCGGGAGCTTTACCCTTTATCCCTTCATGAAATGAGATGAACATGGTCTTGTCGATAGAGTATTCGACCTTTAGTATGCTGGATGAATTGCCAAGCGTATGGAAAAGAAACAATGAAGTAGTGTTGTGTTGTGGGAAAGCTCAATTACAAATTTCAAGGTTTCGAGATTAATATTCTTCCACTTGAAACGGCACGATGTAGACCAATTTGAGAATATTTTACCAATTTCAGCAACACTTTAGCTCGGCTTTTGGGACAGGAAAGCTATAACAACCGACCATCTTCAAAACATTGAAAAAGTAAAACACAACGCAGTTTTGCCGACTACCTTTCATTTCCCTCGAAACGAGTAATTAGTGGAACAGTGAAATGTTTTTTTGACAAGCTTATAGGAGGTTCGAATCGACCACCAACAGAAGCTCTTTCTTGCGATGTGAGTTTTTCTTCCGAGTAGCATCGATTCGAATGGTCTGGGCTAGCTCATCGAACAAATGAATTAGCCTCTCCACTCATACAGAACAAGCATTTTATATAAGATGGTTCTTGTTTTTTATCAATCCAAGGTTGTCTGTTTCCTAGATTTAGATTTCTTTTCCTTTTTTGGATTTTTTTTTAGATTTTTTTAGATTTATATCTTACTTACTTGATACTTGAACTGCCCGTCCTAACTTGTTGTACGGCCCTCAGCATAACCTCTATTTTTCGGAGATTTGACGGTTCAAACGTTGTGGTTCCTCGGAATCCCGAGGTCAGCCTGGCCAAAGTCTGCCTCAGGTCTTCACAACCACAGGCAGTTGCATCCCTTGTGGATCAGAGGGAGATTTTCCACTATGCGGCTTTGATATCAGGACGGTGGTGGATCCTGGTATTGCTTTACTCTTAGCTAGGCTTCCTGATGGAAACGCCGGACTACTTCTCAGTATGGGAGTCGTTGCCAGAGAATGAGTCCCCCGCTGTACGTCGTAGTCCGACACGCAGGAGCACCTCGCTGCCGAGATGTGGTGGTAAACCGTTCGGGGGTTAGGGTTGTATCAGAAATATTATCTTTTTCATTTAGACCACTAGTCCTATTGCATTCAGAACCATATCAATTGGTATATGGCTAAAACGAAAAACAAACAAAACAGTTCTTTTTGCTATAAAACAATTGAAAATGTGTGAGCCAGTTCGGCGAGTTAGTGAGCGTCAAATTAGCATCATGGTTAGAGCCACTGCAGCTTCGGGCTCAAGAATTTTTATCAACAGAAAATTATCTCGACTACAGTGACTATCTGGCAAAGAAAACAGGAGAACGCCTTAAGAAAAAGCTGATATTCATGGGAAAAAATGTTTCTAGGAAACGTGGAAGTTTACACCGTGCTGCAATAATGTTGAAAAAGAAATCGAAGTGCATTTTTTTGCTGGTGTGACAACAACTTCGGACAACATGGCTTTTCATCCACAGTAGGAGACGTGCTGTTTTGTAATTACATTACATTAACTATTAAAAAAGAACATTACAGTGACCCGGCCTAAGTTTCATGGATCCTGAAAAGCGGCAAATTTCCCTACGGCAGGAATCACTTGTTAATATCATTCACTAAAGTGAAGAATGGATATGAAGAATACTCGAGTCGTCGTAATATAAAAAGCGATGCTCCTCTTTAATTTCTTTTTTTTACGTCAGAACAAGTTATCGCATGGAAATTAGAAGAAAATAGGCTATTCCCAAAAGGATTACTGTAGCATCAAATGTGTCTATTCTCCTTTTCCTCTAAGAAATTAGTGTACCATTAGATCTTCTATCATTCCTTCTGGTGATCGTCGAACGGCTTCAGTGAGCGTCGAAAGAGATTACACCGCTCTGGTGCACACCAATGCAGGCCAGCCATGAAGCATAGCAGTGCAGCCCACTGAGCTACACGATATTAACCGAATCACATATTTCTATTCAGACCTTCACGAAGAATTCTAAGCATGGATCTGCTTCCTATCTGTTGTTCGCTTGCATCTGTTCCGCGTCTTATGACACCTACAATCTAATTACCCTTGTCTATCGTTTATCCTAAGACGTATTTTGTGTCTGATGTACTCGATTTTCGAAATCTGGGACCTGCTCTGGGCTGTCCCTAACCATAGATGACGGTTGAATTTTTCGCTTCCTACTTTATCACAACAGTAGCCTTAGTTAAAGAGAAAGTGTAGTCGTTTTTGAGAAGACTTAACGCATGTAGGCAATTATAAAGACGTAGGAAAGTTTGGTCCAATTGTTCACAATCGATCTGGCAAATAGCAGAAAGATTTATGCTCTTTCTACATTCTAATTTATTAAATTTTGCTATTCCAGTGGTTCAGTCACATTTAAAGAATTCCTTTTGTAAAGTGCAGAGTTTCTTTTTTGTGAACTCTCATATAGAGAAATCTGGCGATGTCATCATGGAAGAGAATACCGAGTTGACTAACTAGTACTGGCTGGACATCGTTTATGGCAGGTTTCAGATTGTACTTTTTAAGAAAAACGTTTTTTTAATTTAGCGCAGCTATATGAAAATAATTGAGCGGGAACCTTTGAAATCTCGGCAGGCACAAAGCATTATCACTTTGTAGTAAAGACCTTCCTTGGAAACGGTTTGGGGAGTTCATCCTCGTTCACTGACAGTTTTCACTCGATAGATGACCTTTTTCGCCCTTCATGATAGTCCGTTCTACGAAGAGCACCATGGCTCAACTTTGAGACATAAATTCCTGCCTTGAAATTTCATAAGTCACATTAGAAAAATATAGTCAGAAACACTGCCATGTTCATAAATCGTACCACTTTCTATCGGTTTTCTCACAGTCAACTTTTTTAAAATAAAAACCAAGGGGGAGCGTGCAACACAGTGGTAAGAGGAGCTCTGCAGTTCACATGGAATCGATTCTGCACCCTAGGCACACCAAGCGTTTCATCACTCTAGGATCGAGAAATTGCTAGTAGACTTGTCAAATATACTAGCATCACTGGCTCTATACAACCGTAGGCCACTGCCAGTCATTGTAAAGGCCAGATATGCATTCAATCACCTCCAAGCGAGGTCTACTGAAGTCGAATGCATGGCGCATCCCTCAGGGATTGGTCAACGCCGAAAGCTTTATCCTTTATCCTCTTAATATTAAGCTTAAACTCTGTTAAATCAGTAACTGCTGTGAAACCCGCATCGCCATGGTCTTTTAGTCAGCACACTTAATATTGGACAAATTTTGTTCACACTAAAAAAAAGATCACAACATCCACGATTTAACAGCGGCAATCAGACTACATATATAATCAATCAGTACACAAAATTGATGGTGGCGCTGATGTTATCGCATACGGTGCGCTCGCATTAACCTCCTCCTCAACGTTGACAGTGGCGCTTGTCGTCCATAAGTTTTACTTCCGTCCGGCTCTCTCCAAGTAGCTGCTCAGTTCGAGAGCATTTTGAAGTTCCTGAGACGGTGAGAGTGCAGCTCGTTTCTTTCCAGCGTCAAAGAGTCGATTGTACATCTGAAAAAACACTACATTTACTCACTGGAAGGACAAAGTTCCATAAGTACACTACAACTACAATGTTGCTTCGTAGTAATGAACGAAATAATTAAAAACACTAGACAAGCAAGTCAGGTCATCTAAATAAACTCAGTAGTTCGTTCATTCTAGCTGATGGGTGATTGTTGATGGCAGCGGTAGGTAAAAAACATAGCTGAGAGAAAGGCAAAGCAAGGTCTTCAGTGGTGTGCTGGGTAACACGTGAGCGACCGGAAAGGGTAATCACGTGTTCGAATCTGGGCTGCGGTCCAAGATTTGCAAATAGATCAGCATTATAGTAGTTATATTTTTCATAATACCCTGGAGTGAAAAAACCATGACAGGCAGCAAATAAAAAGGGAAAAATACGTCTCATTTTACAATCTGAGGAAAAAAAGAGAAACCGTTTCGAGTTCTACATTTCCTGAGTTTCGGCTCAATAGCTCAAGCAACTGTTGACAAGATTCGTCGTTGCTAGTGGTCGCCTTGGAAGAATACCAGTCGCTGGAAAGCAAAGCTTCCTCAAACTCCAAAACGGCCGACAACTGCCTGTGGCATGGGCTTAAAGACAGTCTGGCATGACATATCGGATTTACAGAAAAAAATTTTGTCCGAACAAAATTCCGAATGCAAATGAAGAGGAGGTCCGGAGAACTCGAAGTTTCACACGAACCCTGCAGGAAATTGAAAATGCACCATGATAAAGGCTGCACGAGAACGAAATGAATAAAGAAAGTGCTGGAAACGTTATGGTAGTTAACGATGGACCAAACAGGCGTCCAACTATTACCATACGATCTTAAAAACGACATTCATTGAGTTCACCCAAGAATAGTCAGTCATCTGGATCAATGCTAATATGCGAGTTTTTGTTCGATTATGATACTCAGCTGAAGCGATTTAACTGCGTATCTAATTGCCAGTGAAAGACACTCTATGCACGGTATTTGCTACAACAGGTTCTTTGTTTGCTTAGGAATACTAACGAGTTTGGATAGCGTTTCTCCTAGCTGCATGTGCTTCGTTTATTGAACTATCCAGTCATAGGAAAACCTACTTCATGAAAATTTAGCTAATTACTGAGTTATATCAAAAAAAAATTACGTCGGCAATAAAGGTCTTTAATATGGGAACAAATGAGATCGACGCATTGTAAAAGTTTATCGCATAGTAATTTTGTTTTTCAAAACAAGAAAAGTATGGTAGAAAGTCGAGAGCTAGCCTATGCCAATCTCCACCACAATATCGATGAAGAACCCGATTCTAATGAGGGTAGTGAAGTGCGTTATTGAGTACCTTTTAAAATAGCCTTCAAGTCTGATGTAATTTTATCACTTCAAGTGGTTTCAGTTGATAAAAGTGCTCAGAATTACGTGTAGGTGCAATATTAGGAATTAAAATATCAGCTATAAAACTCGTCTTAAGCTGACTTAACGCTAATGGCACTAGAAAGAATTTTCTACGATGACCTTCATATGGGCGCGTGTGGTCGGTGGCACCCTGCGACACATACGTGGAATCGATCCCTGCACCTATGGCCTGTCAAGCCTTCTAATCGACCGGGTTCGGCAAATTGACACTAGACTTGTCTGGGAGGACAACAGTACTGACTCGATGCATCGGTAGGCCACCGCGAGTTATTGTAAAAGCCAGATATGCATTTAATCACCTCTAAACGATGCTTAATGAAGTCAAATTCATGGCGCATTTTTCAGGGACTGATCAACGTCGACAGCGTTATGCTTTCATTTTTTCACCCTTCATAAGTCATTTCGGTGAAACACTAAGCTTTCCTTTGAACACGAATGGTAGACCTTATTGAAGAATGGTCAGACCATGATCGAGCAACAGTTATTCGTAAAAAAGGTATCGATGAAGAACCCGATTCCAATGAGGGTAGTGAAGGGATCTAGATCTGCGACTTCTATTCCATAAATTTCAAACCTGGCAGAAGAAAACCAATTACCTTTCTCAGTAATATAGCTTAATACCTCATTATTATTTAATGAAATACCTCTCTGATTTCCACCTGGTCACTATTTCCCACACATGGCTTCAGTTTTTGATCCCAGTTTTTACTGAAAAAGACGTTTTCGTCAAGCTGCTGGTCTCTTACCTTTGCAAAACATTGAGGACGGTTTTTTACTTCGTGTGCCACTATGGGTGGGTGCTGAAAACCAGATGGCGCGACGATTCTTACCTGCATCTGTCGGCCGACGTCGTTAGCAACGCTTACTTGACGTTTACCCACGTTCATCAAGGTACGTAAGTTTCCGACGTTCTCTTCCACGTCAAATGACGGCGAAATATGACGTTTCAGACCGAGCGGTGACCGTTTATAAGCGGAATTCTGTAATAAAAGTTCTTTACTATGCAATGAATGAGATGCACTGGATATAATTCGTTTGTTGCGAGGGAGAATAATGGCCACATCGGCTTTCAAGCTGACATATCTCAGCTTGTACAAGAATTCATTCTTTGAAGCAAAAACCATTAGGACGTATACATTTTTACAAGGAATGCTTGTTATTTCGAACAAAAAAGCAGTCATGTCACAATCATGTCGTGCTGCACGGAATCTCGCCCACTTGTTTGCTTTCGTGTTGGAAATAAGAGTCTTGAAGTAATGAGATGGAGCAAACGTCTGTCATAGGTTCTAGAAAGTCGGAGCTTAGTCCTATAATAGAAATGAAGTTTTACCCAGTTAGGAAAAATTTTAAATTTTTTGTTACAGTTTTTGTTCCTGCTTGTAAAACTCACTACGAGCTAAGATATGTTTATTTGAAGATAAAATTGAAGAGATACGGTTAATTTAAAGAATAACAAGATAAGGCTGTTGGTTTTGATCAACCCCTAAAGAATGCTCCATGAATCCGACTTCATTAAGTACCGTTGAAGGTGATTGAATGCGTATCTGGCCTTTACAATGAGTCGCGGTGGCTTACCGATGTATCGACCCAGTGCTGCTATCCTCCCAGACAAGCATGGTACCAATTTGCCGACACCAGAGTGATGGAAGGCTTGGTGGGCCGTGGGTTCAGGCATCGATTCCACGTGTGTCGCAGTGGTGTCTCCAACCACTTTGTTACACGGGCCCACAGCTAATTTAAAAGTATATATGGTTAGGCAATTTATTCCTATATATGGTTAGGCGGTTTATTCCTTTCCAGTACCTGAGTTCTAAGTGAGCCCAAATTTCCACATGACAACGCCCTTTCTACTGCACTTGCTTCACACACTGATATCATCTTGCAATTAAATGCAACCTACCAATGAGGCGATAAAGTATCAAGTAGTTTTTTCTTGCGATGTTTCGCATCAAGATGAAGCGAAAGTTCTTCTTTAATAAGACTGCACCACATGAAGGATAAAGCTTTTGGGGTTGATCAATCCGGGGGATGCGCCATGCATTCGACATCACTAAGTATCGTTGGAGGTGATTAAATGCTTATCTGCCCTTTACAATGACTCGCGGTGGCCTACCGATGTATCGAACCAGTGCTGCTATCTCCCCAGACAAGTCGGGTACGAATTTGCCGACCCTGGAAGGATGGAAGGCTTGGTGAGCCTTAGGGGCGGGGAACGATTCCACATGTGTGTTGCAGGGCGGCTTCGACCACTGCGCCACAAGTACCTACAAATCTGTACGTAGGCGATAACATCTTCGAAGAACAAAACTTACAATAACTAAAAATTCTCCAAGCGCTCAAAGTTTTGGAAGAATCGCAAAGCGTAGCGGGAAAGATATAATGCCTTAAGGTTGACAGCTGCAATGAAGCATCAATTTTCAATTCGCATATAATCGAGGATTCGTTGTGAGATTCCAATTTCCAATATTACTTAACTCACATGAGACTATTAATCTGTCAAAAGTTCCACTGTGAAGGGATAACAAAGCAGAATTCAAGGTGATACAAAAAAACGAACGCAGGTAATGTAGTGTTCAGAGGTGCTCAACAATGCACACGTCCTATTCGTCATTGTTTCTATCTTACCACCCAGAAAACAAAGTTCACCATCCATGCATTGTCAGCAGGTTGTTACCAGACTTGTATGAGAGCACAGAAACCACTGAAGTGATACTTGGCATGGTAAAGTCACTTTCTAGGCCTGATAATATTCATTTAACAACTTCGACGGTACTATGGATAGGAATGAATGCATAGCCTGTCTCTAACAGACTGCTCAATTTTGAATTCTTTATTTTCTATGCTTTACAAAGCGCAAAAATTTGAATGAATATTAAACCATCTTGCATTTTATTTATGCAGCAAAATTTATGAAGATAGGTTCTAAGCGGTGTGAAATTTACCAAGGCTTCTAAATTCACTACAGAAATCTGTAAGGTACCGTATCCTAACCTCTGACTCAAAGCCGTACATTCCCATTATGAGAGGATGTAGATCGTTCTCTAGTCTAACAGCGGGGCTTAGTTGACGTTTGACACGCACGGAGTTCGCACCCGCATAGCAAACGATCATTGTGAAAACAACAACCTGACGTAGCACCATCACCTGGAATTAAAGAAATAAGAAATAACTGTCATTAAAGATATTATAGTTGCATAGCTATGCACGAAAATCGGCTACGGTGAAGCGTTTTTAGCAACGTAGCACCCGTCTCTTACGATTAATAAGTAGTTATAAAGTGTAGAGAGGAATGTATCCGCTGTGCGATAAACACCACCTTTCAACCTATCCAGGAGTGTGGTGTAATCACTTGTAATCATCTTTGACGTAGTCAACTTAAGAGAGAACCTATAACAGTTAGTTTCGAGAAAACTACAAGATTAAAAAGGAAGTAGTTTCTTGCCCAAAACATGTCATTTAGGACGAGTATTTTAAATGCCGAAGTAGTAAAACGATGATTTAACGTCATACTTGATAGCGAATTGCCATGTCTCAAAGATTAATCCTGAGTGCTCAGAACTAGTGAACATCGTTTCCAAAATAGATAATTCCTTAATCAGCGAAAAACTTGGTGTTGCCCAAGTAAACACCATTATTCCCAGTGGTGCATAAGACCTGCTTAATTGGCTTCGCTCAAGAAAGAAACGTGTTTTTGTCCGGTGGTATCTTCTTTGTTTGTAACATTAAAGGATCAAAGCAGCCGGGGTTACTAAATAAAAGTGTCGAACTCGATTCCACCTTCAATTATTTTCTAAGGAAGATGAACCTCCTGCCATACAATGCAGCTCGACATTTCTCAGGAAAACGGCAGAACCGTGATGAGCAGGTAAACTAGTGGGCGGCTTGAGAAGACTGCGTTTAATGAGTACTAGTATCATCCACTTCTCACAAGATTACGCCCTCATTGTATTTGAAGAGTGTATCCCAGGAGATGAACTATGATGTTCTGCGGGAGATACATCTATACAAGATGGTCATTCCAGTGGAAAAGAGTCGTCCAATGTTTACGTTTGAACCAAGAGTAAACAAATTCAGTGATTATCCGTCGTAGTGAAGAACTTTGATGCACTACGGAAGATTCAACTTTGCAAAAAAGTCATCCTAGATGAAAGGAGCAGTATGATGTTTTTATCCCTACTAGGAAGAATTAAATTCTAGAAATCGACTCCGCTTCGAGGGTAAGAGCAACTGCAAAGTGGAAAAGCTTTATTTATAATGGCTGGCGACTGTAATTGTTCGCCAACACAGAGGTATTCAAGAATTCATCTAACAATGATGTGGGCTCAACGTAATTAATGACCTCAGCGTTTATTTGAAATTATTAACAATTTTGTTTTTTAATTTGTGACAATGAGTAATTATAGTCCAACCCAGAGCATATAATGAGAACAAAAGTCCCAAGCCTTGATTTAATTTATTGCGTTACGGGGATTACGAACCACTTAAGATAACAACACGAGCAGTATGGATCCAGAAGCCTGAAACATTAAATGTTGTCGTTCAAAGAAATTCTTTACAAGTTAGTTAGAAAGTCTTTAAAAATATATTTACGTATGCTAGGGCAGGCAGCGCATTGGTAGTCATATTGCCGATTATGAGCACCAGTGCTAGTTCGACTCCGTAATAGGACCACCGAACTCCTCATTCCTCCGGGGTTAAACGATTGTTACAAGACTTGTTTAGGCCCAACTTACTCCCACTAATGTACGTAGGAATGCTCTAGTCCGGCTATCCCAGAATTCGGGGAACAATGAACTCGACCTATACTCAACAACATTTGTAAAGAAGACAACAATTCACGAGCAGCAGCCGAATCCACAAGTAAAATATTCAAAGAGCTTTGTGAATGATGAAAAAAAGGAAGCAAATGGTAGGCAAGAAGGATTGAGATCCAGCAAAGCTGTTGTGAGGGGTCATGTAAACTAAACTAAGAAAGTGTAGATAAGCACAAGGGATATTTCTGCATGTAGGGTGATGACATCAAATGGGAACTAATAGATGGGGAATCTTTAGAAATCGGTTAAAAGGGCTATTTTGAAGCAACGCTTTTCTGAAAGAAAACACAAAGATAAACAAATCAGACTCTTTGGGAAGTTCGTGGAAATTTTTACAATTGAAAAAACTAGAAGGATTCACAAGTAGGAAGACAGTAAGGATCTTCGGTTGGTTTGAAAACGGTTATAAAGTTCATTAATACAAAGACAATTTCAATTTTTGGACTGAAAATATTTAATAAATAAGGAAAATGAAGATTTCTGGCAAATTTTATTTTTAGCAAGTATTTTTGCACTTCTATATTATGAACGTTTTTGTTTTCTGAAGACGTCCGTTCACACACTAAAAGTAGAAATTAATTATTAAGCGATAACCTTACGATTAGCAATGAAATTCAATCAAGCACGAAAAACTGTTGGCTCGGAGTGAATTAATCTGCCCAAAAATTCCAATATACTCAAATTTGTTTACTCGTTTCAGTAGAGAACGGGCTGCCTGCAAATGAAATTCTTGTCAAAGAAGTAATCGTGAAGATTTAGCAGGTTTTGGAAGGAGACAGTTAACATCAGATTTTAAAATTACCCGACATCATAAATATTGTGAGGATCATAGCATTCTTTGCATTCGATTCATTACCTGGCTTCCACAGTCCCCGAAGGTTCTCGCACTCTGGGTGTGGGTTCAGTTACTGCTTGAGGAACTGGATCATATTCAGGAATATTGTTACTAATCGAATCGATTCTCCCTGGCTTCCTGGCCAAGTCATGCCAGAGAGCTGCTAGATCTTCATCGGTGACAAACGTCATCCAATATGGATTGAAGAGAGCACGCTGATCCTAGAAATATCTGGCGCCAATTTCGCAACGTCGAAAAGGTGGAGGTGGCGTGCATTAGGGCGCTTCGAACCAAGAAGTGCGTGTCCTGAGTGCCGTCACTACCACGTCCACTCCAGCACCAAAATTAGAATAAGTCATCATAACAGCAAGATTTTTTTCATTCCAGAGATGTACTCGGCGAAAATTACCGTCTGCTGGAAATTATTTAAGCAAGCGATTTACCTTCTTGCGTTCCAATTTCGCGGCTGACAATT